TATTCGAGGATCACAGAACTAGCAAGAAACTCTACTTTAATAGAGTTTATACCCAAGATAATTTGTAGAAGAGAAATAAAAATGAAGCTAGGAAGAGAAGAGAATGAGAAAGACTCAGGTCATTTGGAATGGGAAAGTACTCTCTATTTATAGAGCTAGGAAAGAATAAAATAAATAAAATAAATTAAAACAGATAAGTTGACTGTTTCAACCCATAAAATTTGACAGTTTCATGCACTTAAAGATTTGACTGTTGTTAATAAAATATTAACGTTGCATAACTTTCAATTGCAATAAAATAATAATATTTTACAACATTTTATAAATAAAGACATAATCTCCTTATAACATGCATGAAATGGATACTCAAATATGAAGACAGAGTAGAAATAGGTGTGTGAGGCTAGAGAGAGATGTTCTTATTATAAATTTATCTGCAAATGTTGCTAGAGTTGTTATTCTATAAGTAGCTGAATTACCTTTTGTTGAGGTTAGATATAACAAAATTCTACTTCTCTACTTCTACTTCTTAGGTACTTTTGTGATTTGATTTATACTTAATGATGAATTTACAACTCATTCATTTAATTGGTTTAAAATGAGTTGGGAAATTGGTTTCAAATTGTGGTCGAATCAAATCATCATACTCTAGTTAGACGCTTCCACATAATCTAGAGGGTGTGATGAGTGAAAGAGTCTTGCCCAATAAGTAAGAATTCATTCAACCAAGAGTGGAGGAATCACACTAGATTTGAAGTCTTTAGGTTTTAGGCTACAAGAATAAGCCTATATCTACTTCTAAGAGTTCTCTCAAAACATTGAATGATTTGCATATTAAGTAAACAAGATAATAGTGGTACAGTAGAAGATGAAGTGAAATCCAATCACATTTTCTACTCCACCGAGTCTACAATATCTGCTATATATATATATATATATTTACATGTACTCTATATTTAAAAAATCAAAAAACCAAAAAATTAATTGTAAATATACTTATTAAATCCTTGTGGATTCGACTTTTGTTAATATTATATATTACCAATGCACTTTCTAAAAATTGATTGTTAAGAAAATATTATTAAGTTTTCGACGGTTGTTGTCAGATATCTATGGTTCAAGTATTTGGTAGCTCTAAGCCGTCTTTTTGTAAATATATACATATGTTCTAAAGATAGAGTTTATATATTTGTAAAGTTTGATTCTTGTATTTTAGTAAAGTTTTATTCTCCATTTTCTATTTTGCTTTCACACATATCTCAAGAGGTAAGTTAAAAAGATACACATTTTTTTTAGAATTTTGTGTTTTATTCCGTTAAAAGGAGAACTCACAAAGGATACAATAGGGTCATCAATCCTATGAAAATATGCAGAACAGTTCTTCATAAATTTATGTTGATTGAAGGAAGAATTTTGTACATAAAATCCGCTCCTCAATGTAGAAATTGAAATCTCACAAATCTGACATCTACTAATATGAAAAATCTGACTTATAAATGATTTAGAATTACTTCCCTCAAATCCTAAATAGTTTTTCTCGTTATGTATTCTTTACATATCTACATATTTGCAACTCCTTTTTGTTATCCTCATTAATTTTGCATGTTGATTCTTCGTGCATATTAATTATCACAAGCACCTTTTAACACACAAGAGTATAAGATTAAGTAATAAAAAAATTGTCCAGGAAGAAGGTAGGTGGGTAATTGGAGTAACCATTGCCCTGTCACCTACACACTTGATGATCACACAAAAGACATGATAAACTTGAAACAAGGACAACACTCTTGGAGAACACATTTTATAACAGCAACACCAAAAGTAAAACAACCCATGAGAAACAAGCACAAAAGATCCTAGGAACACCACAGTATATATATAAGCACCTTCCAAGGATTCGTATCATATCACATGAACATTCGACATGATGGAGATTCTCAACCTAATAACAGTGGCTCTGCTATTGCTAACGTTAGTGACAAAGACGGAGAGCCAACTAAAACCCCCACTCATTCCTGTGGCAAAGGCTCCACGCCCACTCTGTGGATCACAATTTGCACTGGTGAACTATGCATGTTCCAGGTTGCCGTTCCGCCATGGAGCGCCACCAGCTGATTCTCCTCCATCCCCAGACGGCGAAGATGGTGACGGAGAGAGGCACCATAGTCACAGTCACAGACATAACCACAGACATGGACACGGTCACCGACACCACCAGACCCCTGAAGAAGATAACTGTTGCCGGTGGGCGAAGGAAGTGGACAGCCAATGTGTGTGTGAACTTCTGCTTCGCTTGCCACCCTTCCTTGTCCGACCTGTGCACCAGTACACACTCAACGTTGGAGACGCCTGTAACATCACCTACTCTTGTGGTTCACCAATCTGAGTCATTGTCTCACTCAAATCTTGTCTTGTCTTGTGTTTTCTCGACTTTTTAAGGATTGATACTATATTTATGCTTTCTTTGTTTCCGGTTTTAGTTTGTGTGTTCTGGAAAACATTGTTTTTTTAATAAGATTTAATATTATTATTGGGAGCTTCTACAGAGCCAAAAAGCTTGGTTTTTGAGCACGACCCAATCTTCATAAATACTTTTTAAGCCATATTGATTGCTGAGTCCTAATGATTATTTATATTGAAACTAGGTAGAATAAATTGATGATAATAATAGTAATAATAATTTTAATTATATAAAATAAATATGTAAAAATATTAATATTTTCAAATATATCAATAATTATAATGTTTCTATAATTAACTGGCACACAATTAATATTAAATGTCTTTTGGTGAAAAGAACCCATAATAATTTGAAAATATTGGATTAAAAAAAAAATCCGCCAATTCTAGTTTTCATTTTTTCTGAAATTATAGTTTTTCCCTTCTCCGAAATTTTTGATGAACACCTAAGAACTTTGGGACATTTTAGTTTTTCCCCACTTTTTGTCATTTTCCCACACTCAAATCACTTTCGTGTGTCCTACAAAATGAATGCACCCCCATAAAATCTAATAACCCAATTTTACCCTCATTAAATGGACAATGAACAACAAGGTGGACATGCTCTTTAAGAGGGATTAGAAAATTATAACTCAAGGGAATTAAAGCGCTCCAGGCAATTTATTGTAGTAAGAAGGAAACGAAAATTTGAGAGAGAGAATTTTTTTAGAAATTACTCATTTATATTTTTTTAATCAAACACTACTAAATTATATGTCAATTAATTATATAAATATTGTGACTATTAATATTTATTATAATTACAAATATGTTTAAATATTTATTTTACATAACTTAAATTATTATATTAATATTATTTTAATTTATTCAATTGTTTATTTTAATATTTATTTTACTATTTTATAAATAAAATTTAAGTCCAATATAATTTAATAAAATTGATTTATAAAATGAGATGTACATTTATTTATATTATAAATTTATTTTTGTGAATCTAAATAAACAATAAAACTAAAAAATATTGATGGAAAACAATAAATCATACCAAGAAATTAAAATAAAAAAAACGTACAGAAACAACAAAAATAAAAGTGTAATATGCAAACAATAAATATAAAAAAGGTTTATTATGGTCCCTATTTTTGTCAGGTATGTAAGATTTGGTCCCAGTTTTTTTTATGTTCAATGTTGTCCTAAGAATGTAATTTTGTTCAATTTAGTCCTTTTTACAAACGGCCGTTAGATCGTTAACGACAGACAGTCCAGATGTACACAAGACTAATGAGATGACATTTAACTACTGTCACGTCAAAAGTAGAGTCTTCGTGGCAGCCCCTTTACCAACCACAAATTAGGGTTCTGCATTTGGGAAAAACCTTCCTACGCTGCGAGAAGAAGGAAAACGCTGCTCGCAGTTTTGCTTTAATGGAGGATGATTTCGCAAATTGTGTGGCTCATGGTAGCATGAAGAAGACAAACCTAGTTGTGTAAGAAAGCACTCATGGTGGCCGGTGAAGGCAAGCAACGACGCGATTCTAGGTTTCTTTGATTTGGGATTTTTCTGGATTTCGTTGTGGTTCTCTGTAGGTTGGAGAAGATGATGGCCCTGGAGTTTTGCGCAACGACAGCAAGGATTGTCATGTTGACGATGAAGCTCTCGATTTGGATGATTCATGGTTGATGCGCGAGAATGAAGATTCGAATGGAGTTCGAGATTAGGGTGGCTTGCGACATTATTGATGATGAAGACTTAGCGGTTTGGGTTGTGCGATTCAACTTTTTATGTTTCTGGGTGCTTGTGTTTGATTTGCAGGTACGAGATGCTGATAATGGCGGCTTGAGAAAATCCTGTGAAGGCGGAGGCGCGAGGTGATCTGGGTAGTGCGGCGGCCTGAGGAGAGTGTCGTGACTTTGATGGTGATGGCCATGGAGGTTGTGCGTGATGACTATCATGGTTCTTTGCAGGCGCGGCTTCACGGCGACATGGTGACTTTGGACGATCTCTGCGGCGGCAGTGGCTTTAGGGTTTGGTGGCGGTGCTAAGGTTAAGTGACTAGAGAGAAAGTAGGATTTCAATTTCTCTTTGGGCTAAAGGTTGAAGAAGGTGGTGACATGACAGTAGTTAAATGTCATCTCATTAATCTTGAGCACACTTAGAATGTATGTCGTTAACAAGTTAACGATTTAATTATCGTTTGCAAAAAAGATTAAATTAAACAAAAATTACATTTTTTAAGATAACATTGAAAAAAAAATTGAGACCAAATTGAATACATATGAAAAAAATAGGGACATCACGGATATTAAGCATATAAAAAATAAAACAACAATGAAAATTATGATAGAAACAATGATGAAAATAACCATGTTTTTGGCTTATCAAATTGTCGCAGAAAAGTTGAAAACACGATAGAGAAAATAAATATTTAGAATCAAGCTTAAAAAAAAAGAAATAGATTTAAAAACAAAAAAAAAAATAGGAACAAAGAAGGTAAAAAAAATTTGAGAAACACAAACAAAAATATAAACGAAAACTAAAATATAATTAAGTATGAAAAATATTGAAAGGGAAGTCTCAAGTTTCAAGTCAAAATGTTTTGACAGTGATTGAGAGATTGATTGAGAGATGAAGATGTGGATTATGTGTTTTAGAGTTTTTCTGTAATTGATCAAATAGATCCTAAGAGATTTTAAACCAGTATAACTGAGTATCCATTTTCTTAATGAAATAAACCAGTTAATATATTAAGTGCTTTTAACGTTTTTAAAATTTTAACCGATTATAATATTTCATAATTGATTAAATAAACTTACATCATTAAATGAATAAAGAATTCAATCAATTAGATATGCTCCTTAATTAATTAATAATGAAAGCTTTGTAATTATTTTTACAAATATATGAGAATAATTGATTATATGCTTGATAGAATAAACAAAAGTGTCATTTCTTATTTTAAATAAGTGTTTTCAAACCCTTATAAGTAGATATTCAATCTAGATATTTCAAATAACTTTGTTAATCAATTTGAGCAAATTATATCATGATTAACAAAGTTGTTTCATATTTTCAAAAGTATTTTTAAGCTTCTAATAATTAAAGATTGTATGGAGTTCTAAAATTTTTGTGATCGTTTTTGTTTTGTTTTGATAATTCTTTTTAATTAGTTATTACTAATTTTTTCAATATTATGGAAGCTTATATTTTCTTTTAAGATAATATTCTCTTTAGTGTTTCAATGTTGATTGTTATATTGAGTTTGTAATTATTATTCGTTTTCTACAAATTTCATTTGATAGCATAACCATTTTTTTTAGAGATGAGAAATTAAGAATTAATATAGGACTAATTGATATGAACTAATATAAATATTTCGTGTAATCTTTTTTATTGGTTTATCTTTGTATTTATTTTGCTTTCTAGTTCTTATATCTATTTATACAATGTAATCAAGTTATGAAGATAGTGTGAAGTTGAGATTATTTAAGCAATTCAGTTACACCCATTCAAAATAGCAGTAATCTAATATAAACTTAGTATTATTAGTTAATGATACAATTAAACAATATTATTTTAAACAACCAAAATTGTGATATGTAGACATTTCTGTATTTTTTCATAATTTGTGCACGTAAAAGTTCATTAAGAGTATATAAATAATTGAACATCCCAAAGTTACAAGGTTGACTTTTCTTATATATAATGTTTATAGAACTAACCTTTAACTTTTTGCGATAGTGATTTGATTGTTGAAGTTACTTCATGAGTATTATGCTCCCAAAGACTAAGAAGACTAAATACCAAGAAGACAAGATATTGATAAGATCATCAATCTAGAATACTAGATACCCATAAGGCCCAAGAACTCCCACCTAAAGACCATCCTAGAGAAAAAAATATGAAAAAGATGTTCGCAACCACAAATGAGGTCATCCTAGAGAAGAGAGAAAAAAAGTCGACCACAAAGAGAAAAGACAATGCCCAAAAGGAAAGGAACATGCTCTTAAAAGGTGTTATTAACAATATATTAAGAAGATTTGTGAGGTGAGGAGCATCAACCTCTATTAGGAAGAAACACTTGATGGCATTTTGATCTTTTAAGGACCAAGCGAAGTATGTTGATCATCATCTTTACAAATGAAGACTTCCAAGCAATTAACCATGGTAAAAACAATCCCATGGTGTTGAACTCGCCTATTTTGAAGTGGTGAAAATATTTGTGGACTAAGGTAGCTTGGTTGACATATTGTATTGGAAAACTTTCTAGCGATTAGGTTTTTACTTTTTTGAAAAAGCGAGTAAACTAAAGGTCAGAAGTTTGACGAAGGAACCATAAGATACAAAACTGTCAAAGTGTGATATGAGATTGTTTATGTTAACACCTTATACAACATCTTGTTAGGAGAACCTTCGGTTAACAAGCTTAGAAGATAGCGTTGATTCCACATTTAACCATGAAGTTCTTGTCATAGTATGGAGAAATTGTTACCATTCATGTTGAGTAGAAGACGACTTTAGAATGCTACATCATTAACTTGAAGATAGAATCTACACCAACGGAATCGAATCGATGTTGACACAACGAAGAATGAATTTTTGCTATGATTAACCTAAAATCATGAGTAAACGATAATATAAGAACAAAACCTAAGGAAGACATTACCAACTAGGAAAAAAAGAGTAGGATACAATTGGGAGGATGTTTGAAAATTGATGACATGGGAATCATAACTGAAGTGTTAACAAAAAAATTGAGACTTATTTCCTTGGACAACCACTAACATAGCCAAAAAAACACTTTGCAAGTAATATCTCATAAACATTCATTGTATAAAGAGGCAAGACCAATCTCTTAAAAAAATAAAGACTCATAAAAGAGAGAAGACCAATAGTAAAACATGACACTATGATACATAAATACGACACAAGTATCAAATACGACATTATTTAATACGACGATTTATCACTTCTTGAGTTTAAGAACAAGTACATTAATAAATGTATTGGTTTAATTGTAGTACCAATTGTTGTATTGATAAAGATTTAATAAATTTTTATTAGAAATCATAGTGTTATTTGG